TCGAAACACTTAAAATTTCCTGGGAACACAAGACAATTTAAAAATGTGTGTTCCATATTTTGAAAGATAATTTGTTGTGTGTAAAATAAAAAGGCTGTGTAACAGATCTGTGATTTAGGATACTTATTGGAGGGATAAATAGGGACAGCGTGATTTTTTAATTTCCCATTTCTGTGTATGTGAATGCTGAGAAACTTTTTACAGAAATTGAGTAAATGGGAATGCGAAGTTTCTTCCTCTAACTTTGGGTGTCAGATATTTTTGTCTCAGCAATGAGGAAAGTACCACAGACACAAATAGAAAAGTGTACTTTATTATGTTAATCTGTGAACTCCTAAATTATTTGACAAAAATTTATAATCTATCATCAAAAATATTAATGATTTGTTTGTAGGCAATTTGGTCACCTGTCAGTTTTATTGACAGAAGTGCCATGGTGCTAGAGCAGTGTCAGAGGGGGCCAGGCGCAAGTGCTGGTAAGAGTCCCTGTGAGCGTGGTGGTGGTGGGCATGCTATCTACTGTGTTGTGTACCTTGATCCAGTACTTGGCTACTCAGAGCAAAGAAGAGCTGGATTGCATCAGGGTACAATTAACTGTGTTGAGCGTTCATTAAAAGGCAACAGGAGGGCCGGAGATAGCTCAGTGGTACAGTGCCTGCCTGGCTGGTTGAGGTCCTGAGTTCAATTGTTGTTGGCCTTCCCCCCCGCCCCCCACAAGATAATGGGAATCTGAAACCATGTGTACTGGGATCTGGGCAGGGAAAATGGTGAAACAAGATGGGTGGGGGCTGGGAAGAAGCAGTGGGGAGAAGGTAAAGGGAGGCTCACTTGGGTAGAACACTGGTGATGGTGGTAAACAGGAAAGAAGAAAATGTGGTCATATATGAGATTCAGTGGCTTTAGAAGTGGAAGAGTTATGGGTCACGAACATTTTAAAGGGGTGGTCATGGTTTCTGTGGCTGCTGTGTACCTTGATCCAATATTGCTATGAAATAGAATACATGAATGAGAATGAATTTACAGAAATAGTTGAGCATGGTCTTAAAGAGAGATGAACTCCTAGGGAATGGTGGAGTGTTGGAGTGGACAGAAAGTGTGGGGAGACATCAACAAAGTGGAAAAATCAGGGCAAGGTTGGTAAAGAAGAACTGCAGAGGGGAGGAAAGATGACCTTGAAACTGAAAGGGAGTGGATTTGTTTGCCTCCAAGAAGCTGCAGACAAATGGTTTGGCTCTGGCCTTGAGTACAGAAGATCCCAAACTCATTCCCTTATCCTGAGATGGAAATACCTGTCCTCTGAGAAGCAGTTGGGGGACAGCCCTGTCCTTGAGATGGAGACACAGAGAGCATATACTGAAGATGTATGAGAGTTTGTTGCTTGTGAGGGGCAGGAAAAAGGTCACGGTGAAGATTTCTCCATGACGAGTGGTAGAGTCTTGTGCAGGCTGGAGCTTATCAGAGCTCTGTAAAGATATTGATAAAAACCAAGATCCCTGGTGTGTATGAGGAGCCCAGTGCATTCTAGTTTGGGTGTTGACATGGGGTGGGCATGAGGGGTAAAACCAAAAACGGACTGGGACTTTATTTTCTCAGCTTTTGGAGAGCTAGACCTTTGCTTAACTACTAAGCATCTGCTGGAATCCGATGGGTGTTCAGCCCTGGGAAGTGTGCCTAGTGTTATCCCCAGGTGGCAGATGGGATCATATCAGACCAAGAAAGAGTTAGAGACCCCATACTGGCCCAACTGTTGCCCTTGGGTTTCCAGTCCTAATGTGAGTGATCCTTTTCCTGCCCACCTCACTTGAGTGCCTACTGTGTATAATACTAGAAAAACAGAAGACCTCTTTACAGAAGACGTCTAGCTTCCTAATAACAGCATAGTTCACAATAACACCCAGCTGTCAGGCAGTTATCGCCAGTGGTTACATTTAGTGCCAATTAATTGCCCTGTGTCATTACTGCTGCACTGTGGGAATGGGGTTTCCCCACAACAACTTAACAAAGACCTTTTTTATTCAAGGTAAAGTACATTTTCTAAAACATTTTTTCCCTTCGTCATTTTTGTTTAACTATTTTCAACACAACAACAAAATTTAGCTAGAATTTCTGATGTGTCACTTTAAGGCAGAAAAAGAGAAATTACATGAGGTGACCGAAGGCAAACCCTTGTCTCTTGTGCTTCTAAACTTAATTGCATTTGCTCTCAGATACTATTTAACATGAATTCAGCAGGGCCAGGGATGTGGCTCAGTGGCACAGTGCCTGTCTGGCAAGTACGAGGCCCTGAGTTCAATTCCTGGTACAAAAAAGTATTAACTCAGCAACAGTATAGGCTCCCTTAAAAAGGTGCATATTTAAGGATAGCAAATAACTGATGTTTCATTGATGTGTCATTGATTGAGTCTTCTCTCTTTTTCTTTTAAAGATAGTGTTTTTGGAAGAAGCATCTCAGCAAGATAAACTAGCCAAAGAATGGGGCTTCAAATCCTGTGACGTGAGAGAGCTCAGCCCCCAGTAAGTCTCGGCTTCTTTCCTCCTGCTGGGTGCCATTGGCTAGGCCCGAATGACAGGAAAGTGGCCTTGGGGTACACAGGGACTTTCCAAATTAGTTAGCTTTGGACTGAGGTTATGGAAAGGAGAAGGAGAAGAGCAGCAATCTAAAGGACAGCACTTTGGGAACGGGAAGCCACCATCTTCATGTATTTCTTCAGCAAGTGTCTGTTGAGCCTGCTGTGTGCAGTGAGCCAGGCCTTGCAGACTTTCTCTTCCAAATTGTGTTATCTTCTAAGAAGGAAGTAATGGGCAGGGGAGAGAAGCAATCAAATATTGGCATATGGAGTTTGAAAATAATTACCCTGATGTCATGATTAGGGAAGGTCTGGATTAAAAAATACATTTGAGTTGTAATTTTAGTAACTTTCAATATTTGTGTAAAATGTGTTTCCTGCAGTTGGGCCCATGTTTTTATAGACTGCTCGATTTTTTAAAATTTAATGTATTTAGTACAGGGTCTATAGGGTCTCACTACGTAGATTGGACTTGTAGTGATCCTCCTCTTTTCAGCATCCCAAGTGCTGGGATTACAGGCATGTGCCATGATGCCCAGTCTCAATCACCATCTCAGCGCACCCTGAGGGTAGGGCTGGCACAGCATGCCAAGGATCAGACCTCGGTCCCAGGCGCTTTAGTCTGCTGAGTTACCTGGGCGGCCTTCACACACTTATAATTGTAGCTCCTGGGAAGGCTGAGGCAGAGGGATCACAAGTGGATGGCCAGCCTGGACAGTGTAGTCAGTCTCAGTCTCAAAAATAAAATAAAGAGGTCTGGAGTGTAGAGCTCAGTGTTAGAGCACTTGCCTAGCACGCAGGAGATGCCTGATCCAATCCCCAGCATTGAAGAACTGGAAGGAGATACTGGTTCTCTGCTCAGATATCTTAAATATGTTGTCTTGTTTCAGGTCAACTATGTTTTTAAGGTCAACACAATTATGATTTTCCTTCTAAAGACATTTTTCATTTCTTGGAAGTTGTCTTTAGGATAAGGTAGGAAGAGTCACACTGAGCTGGGAATTTAAACACCTAGTTTGAAACACCTAGCACTGTACGCTTGCACTGGTTAGATGTGAAACAAGCCCTGCTCTTCTTTGAGCTCATCTTGGCCACTGAACTGGTCTCTACTAAGGGTGCAGGGAGCCAGGACAACTGGGCGTGCTGTTTAATTGCACTCACAGCTCTTATACGTTCCTTTCCCCACCACCTCTCAGTAGCTGGGAAGAATGTGGGGAATGAGCTTGAAAATTAGAGCAGTAGCTTTGGGTGTTGCTCTTTCTACCTTTTCCTGGCTTTCCATAAGAAACTGTGTTGAGGAACGAGGGGCGTCTATGGTCCCTGCTCGCAGGATGATGATGACGGTAGTGGCAGTGCGTGCCATCTTTCAACCGATACACCGGAGAGCTGGATCTGCCCCTTAGGAGAGCTGTAAGAATGCACAGCTACTCGAATAATAATGGATGGATGAGGCTGGCAGCGGGGTGGATTAGAGACTTGGGGAGAAGGGCAGGCACAGTGGGAAAGCGTCCTTACCACTTAACCCTCTTAATCAATGACCCATTATGTTCCGGGCTCCTCAGATCGCCTGTCCCTAGCCAGCTCCAGTTTGTTCTCGTGCTGCTGCTTTAGAGCTGGGACCTTGAGCCAATGGGAAGGACTAGAGAGCTGGCGGGCAGCCTAGACCAAGATGACCATGGGAGCAAAGCTGCGGCCACTTTTCTCCTCATCACTCCTTTACTGTCTTACAGTCACCCAGTTAGGAGACCATCGACACAGGCTCAAGCCCTGGCTACGCCCAGTGCTTGTGATGCAGCTGCTCGGCCTCTGCCGAGAGCTGTGCCCCTGCTTCTCGCTGTCCTCTGCTTTTCCCTGTGCCCACCGTTCCAACACAAAGCTGTCTTTCCCAGCAGCGTGGCAGCCTTATTTCCAGATCTCTAGAGGACAGGAAGACGTGAGATCGCTATAAACAGGCCTGAGATGCTCAGTTAAATGACTGTCAAGAGAATGCGTGATTTTAAAGTTGACAGAAAGCGACTACAGACATTACCAAATGTTTCTCCTCTCATGTTAATTTCCAGTGAGTTCTTCATACCTGGGCTGGTCGATACACACATCCACGCCTCTCAGTACTGCTTTGCTGGGAGTAACGTAGACCTGCCGCTTCTGGAGTGGCTGAGGTGCTACACATTTCCCACCGAGAATAAATTCCAGAACATTGAGCTCGCTGAGGAAATCTACACCAGAGTTGTTGTAAGTATCCTGTATGTGAGTATTATGTGTGCTTGACTATTGGTACAAATGCCCATTTCTAGAGCCAGATTTAAGCTGTACAGAATCAGAAGTTCAGGCTTCACTAGACCATAACAATTTTTGTTTGTTTTGTAGTATCAGAGACTAAAACCAGGGCATTTGCATGAGCTATAGCTGTACCCCTTGTTACTTATTTTGAAACAGGGTCTGGCTGAGTTTCCCAGGCTGGGTCTCAGTGCAGTATTTTACTTTGGCCTCCTGAAGTGCGGGACAATAGATGTGTGCCCATGGCCCAGGGACAACTTTATGTTCTGAGTTTTTTTACAATTCAGTGATTTTGTGCCCACGATACCCACACAGCCAATCAGTGGCAAAGAGATAATTTGGGTCTAAGTTACTATGTCTCTAATGCAGTGGGCTCCGTTACCCTTTTTCCCTTGGAATTGTGTTCTACATCACCAAATTTGGGTTGAACGCATATGTGTATTTCCTTAGTCCTACCACCTTGTAATGCTTTTCTGGAGCCCATTTGGAGTAGCTGTGTGCCCTTTGGAAGGTTCTGTGACTCATTTTCCCCGTCTGTAAAAAATACAGATAAATCACAGTACCTACTTCACAGGGTTGCTATGACAATTCAGCAAATCAGCATTTGCGGGTGTCTTAGTTACTCTTCTCTCGTTGCTAGGACAAATACCTGACACCCAAAATGAAGGAAGGAAAAGTTTATTTAGCTCACAGTTACTGGAGGTTGCAGTCCACATTCAGCTGGCTCCAGAGGCAGAGCGGTGCAAGGCAGAGAACAACCTTTCATGGCGGTGGCAGAGAGGGAGAGCAAAAGGGAGGGGTAGCAGCAGCACAAGTCACTAGCTTCTCTTACCACCTTTCATTGTAATGCAAATCACCTGCCCCAGGGCAGGTGCAGCATCCACACCCACAATAATCTGTCACAAACTCCAGAAGCTGCCCCAAGACTGCATGAGGCTTTGGGCGGGCGGGCAGGGGGGGAGGGGGGAACACACCTATACACAAATCATAACAGCGGGGTTCTTTCAAAAGGTACCTAGCACGTTGTAGGAGCTCTGTAAGTGTTCTTTAAAACTACGCAAGGAAATAAAAAAATTAAAATTTCAAATTACTGATAGAAGAACATCTCCTTGTCGTGGCAGATTTGCCCAGAGGGGAATGGGCTGGTCCCAGGTGCGGTTTTGGAGCATGTGTGCCACTAGAGGACGCTCTGGAGCCTGTTCAGTCTGTGACCAGTGGCTGTTGTGTGCCAACTACATACCACCTGAAGGCTCTTCCTTCAGCTCTTTGGAGAAAATTAGTTCCTTCCTTTCTTTTGCATCTCTGTGCCCAGAATTGGTGCATATGTAGCAACCAAAGCCAACTTCTGCTGTAAAGAAGTTTGAGCTGAGGGGCTGGGGGAGATGGCTCAGTGACATAAGCTCCTGCATGGCAAGTGCAAGGTCCTGAGTTTGATCCCTTGAACCAAAAAAAAAAGACATTACAGTTGCAAAGACCTTTTCTTCTGACCATTGCTTCCTGGCATTCAGTACCCTTGGGACTGTAAACTCGTGGATTGTCATTATTACTATTGTTGTTGTTGTTGTTGTTGTTATTATTATTATTATTATTATTATTATTATTATTATTATTTTGGTACGGGGAAATTGAACTCAGGGCCTTGCAGTTGCTAGGCAGGCACTGTGCTGCTCAGCCACATCCCTGACCCATCACTCGGATTTTTTGGCTTCACTGATCGTTTTTCTGTAAGGTGCTAATGGTATGACTTGTGCGCTGCCTGGCTTAGTCATCTTGATGCGTTTCGAGATCCTGCTTCATTCCAAACTTAAGAGCAGGAGCAAGTGGTAGTGTTTATATACTTGCCTTGCTTATAAATTCAGCGCTGTGGGAGGGCTTGCATCCATATTAGCCTTCATGTGATACCAGAAAGGGCTGAAAGGTGAGCATGGGGTTCCTGGTGCATTGTGTTGGTGAATTGCGTTAACCACACCGCATGTGTGTTCTCAGAATTCACTTATACATCACACTGTTCTAAAAATGGTTTAAAATTACATAGTATACAACAAAAGAAAATGAGTCATCAAATCACAGCAAAGAACAAAAGGGAAGTGGGAAAGATAAAATAAAATAAAGAAATCAACCCAGGTCATTTGGGTGGAGTACGTTCACCCGTTCATAGACTTCGCTATCAGCTTCTCTTTTCTGGCCCAGAGGGGGAAATCATTTAGGGCATTCATACTGTGTGTGTGAGTTTTCCAGAGCTTCAATCTGTCAAGTGAAGCATATCTATTTCTCTTACTAAAAGTTAAGAAAATTACTAGCCTCTATTTTCAAAAATACGTATTGTAAGGATGCTATAGTATAAAAGAGTTCAGCCAGATCAGACTTTTGTGTTTGGAAAAATAGAATGTCAGGGATCATATATCTTTCAGGCAATAGTTTGTAAATATAGGAGATTTAAGTACTTGATGTCAGTGAGTACAAAGTAGGTTCTGCTCCTGACAAGCGTTTACCTTTGTGCCTCAGGTGTTTCAGAATCTGAGAAGGCCACGTACTTGAATGAGTTTAGAGTATGGTTGAGATCTGTTGAAGAAAGTTGAGAGTTATGCTCTAGAACCTGTTTCTAGGCTGAAGGTTTCCTTCAGCAAGACAAAGAAATACAAAGGAAGCACCTAGGAATAAAATTAATACGTTTTTGTTTTTTGTTTTCTCCTCTGGAACATTCATAGACTTCAAGAAATCTACCACATAGATTATGGCAGTGATAAATTACTCAGCAGATCATTTAAAATGTATAGTAGCAAAAATTTCCTCTAATTATTAAATCCCAGTAAGCCAAACCTAGAATGTTTGCTTTTAAGTATGCAGACTGAATAGGTTTGCCGTTTCACACAGGACTGAAATGAACTAGAAAGAACAAAAGTTCTGGAATCAGCCCAAAGCATAGTTAGGGGACAAGAAGCTAAGCTCCTCAGTGAACGTGCCAGGAGAGACCAGTTGCAAATAGTGTATAGTAATAGAATGAAAATGCTTTAGGGGCTTCTGGTGATTATGGTGATTGAGTAGAGAAGGAGGAATCCAGCTGATACACAGGCCTAGCAAGTTGTTAAAACACAAAAGGAAAAGAAAGGGACCAGACCCCCTCTCCTTGACCATTGGAGCTTAGCGTTGATGCTCACAATCATCTTCAATTTGGCGTTTCTCTGCACTCTAATACTTGGCCTCAAAACCCTTTCTGTCGAAACTGATGGCTAGTGTTACACGTTGCTATCTTCAGTGCAGTTGTTGTACAGTCTTCAGGGTAAATCCTGAGGGGATTTGACTGACCTTGCTATCATGCCCAGTTTCAATCGCCAGCTCAGCACACCCCAGGGGCGGGGCTGGCATGGCAGGCCTGGGGATCAAACCCCCAGCTCCTGAGTCTGCCTACATAGGTGCTTTAATCTGCTGAGCTGTTTGGCTGACCTCTCCCATTTTCTCTTTCAATAAAGCCTTTTTTCTATATCTGAGATAAATTCATTTAAAGAGTTATTTTCTATCAATTTCCTTTGTATTCTCCCTGTTAATAAGACAAGAACCTTAGTCTCTCTTTCCTTCTCATTGCTACCCTCCGTTGTAGCATCTCAACTCCCTATACTTATTTAAAATGTGTGTTTTCCAATCTCATTTAAAAGTTCATTTTAGTTTCATTGTAATTCACTATTTGCTAACATCTATAACTGAATTTAACAACAAGCCTTTTCTTTGCCTCTTGGGTCCTTGGATTCATTTTTCATTTTGGGAGATAGTTTCTGACAGTCTTTTCCAGTAAGTAAGGTGGGTGGTGAGCATTTCCTATATTGCATTGCCAAAAAATGGTTTCATTTCTTGGTTGAAAAGGATGCTTTTGCTTGTTAAAAGACTTGTATTTGAATTAATTTACCTACCACCACCCAATGTGGTGATGTCAGCATAATTATTTTTTTCTGGATAGTTGGCTGATGTGTAGACTTTTTTCATTATTTTTTATTTAACCACTTTATTGAAGTGTGATTGACATACAGAAACTGTACATAGTTAACAGAATTTGATCAGTGCAGCACCGTGAGGCCATCATTGCAGTCAAAGTCATAGATATGGATGTCATTAGGTCCAAAGGTTTCCTTTCACCCCTCTTATTGTTTCTTATTTTTCCTTTTTGGTAAGAATGTTTAATATAAAAGCTGTCTTTAATAATTTTTTTAATGCATTTAGTACAGGGTCTACATGGTCTCACTACATAGATCAGACTCATAGTGATCCACCTGTGTTGAGCCTTCCAACTGCTGGGATTACAGGTGTGTACCACCACGCCCAGTCTCAGTCACTGTCTTAGTGCACCCCGGGGGTGGGTCCGGCATGGTATGCTGGAGATTGAACCCTGGTCCCTGCATCTGCCTAAATAGGCACTTCAATCCTCTGAGCTATCTGACCAGCTCTTCTTGAGCTATCTGGCCAGCCCTGTAAATTTTCAACTGTACTCTTACCATATGGACAATATGCTGTGCATTAGCATTTTTGAAATGTAATCTAGAATGATCAATGCTTTGTATACTTTACCTAACAACGCCCTGTACCCCCTGCCTTAGCCTGTGATGATTAATAGTCTGTCCAGTGGGCAGTGAATTTGACTATTTGAACTTCCTTATGAAAGAAATGTCATGTTAGGCTTATACATAGTGGCTGTCTTATTTCACATAGCACTGCAAGGTTTCTTTTTCTGACTACCATTCAATTGCATATATGTACCCACAATTTTTGTATAATCCATCCGTTGGCAGCCACTCAGGTTGGCTGTATTACCTGGCCATTGAGAATAATGCCACAATGAACACAAGAGTATAGATGTGCCTTGGAGATCGTGGTGACATTTCCTTTGGGTATGTTCTCAGCGGTGGGCGCAGCAGGTCATATTACAGCTGTGTTTATTTGTAGGAAATTCTGTATTGTTTTCTATAGGGCTTGCCCTAATGTGAATTCTCAACAACAGTGTAGCAGAAATTGCTTTCTTCTGGAAGCTTCCTAGCGCTTATCTTTTTTTTTTTTTTATGATGCTGATCTTAATAGATGGCATCTCCTTAAGGTTTTGATTTTATAGATTTTTTTAAAATTCATTTATTCTCTTTACTGAGCACTTCCTTCAATAAGAGAACACTTGTCCTCTGTTCTAGGGAATGTACTTCTCTTTGCCTGTCTCTGGTTCTCTATCTTGCTTTGTACATCTCTCGTATTTCCTTCCCTCTAATTAGCTTTTTTTTTTTTTGGTAAGTAGTCTAACAAAGACAGTGGTGCCTCTGGATCTGCTTTTGTGGCTGAGTTTTCTTTCTGGCTACATCCTTAGACAATGTCATTGCCTAATCTTTAAGTCGTTAACTCATTCTTATTATGATAGACCATTCTTCTTGAAAAAACACTGTTCTACCCTATTTACCTGAGGATAGCTTTAGTTCACTTTATGTCTCTTAGTTCTACTTCCCTAGGTATTCATTCAGCAGATACTGGCTGAGCACACACTGGAATGCACACCTTTCTGTGGCTGCTGCAGACCAAATTCTGCCTTGATGTTTGCTTTTCATTTGCATTCATAATTCTGGTGGAGAGCTGATCCATGTTTGGTGCACACGGATTCTAAATATTCTGTACTGGCAGGCAGATAATATTTTATTTCATGGGCAAAATGTGTCAAAAACTGGAAAGATTGTCATGAAAATCCAGGGTTCCAAAGTCTTTCTTTTTGTTTAAATTTATTTTATTTATTCTCTCTAGGCAGTTCAGACTTGCTCTGCTCCTTCTGGCTCAGCCTCCCCAGCGCTGGGGTTACAGGCATGCACCACCACACCTGGTTTCAGTGGCTGCCACAACACTGGGGGTCTTGGGGCTGGCATGGCATGTGGTACTGGGGATCGAACTCAAGACCTTGCACTTAACCAGGCGAGCACTTAGACTGCTGAGCTATCTTCCCAGCCACATTCTTTTGATATTTAGGGCTAATTGGCCTCACTGGGCTCTCTACCAATTGGCTGATGCCAAGTAGAAGCTGCCCAAGTGGGACATGCCCTTCCCTGATACCTTAATTCCAAACTGTGTCAGTCCTGCAGAAGTTTGAGCTACAACCCCTGTGCTGCTCCTTAAGAAACCCTGTTAGTTCAAAAGGGAGGAAACTGATATAGAGAAAATAAAACCACTAAGGAAAAAGCAAGCAAAAACTCAGCCTAGAGAAAGAATAGTGTTTTCTGCTTTTAAAACATCTGCAAAAGACACTCCAGGGTATTCTGGGCAGCCTGTCCTCTTTCCCAAGTGCTGCAGTGGGTCAGGCTGTGTGGGTTCCACTTTTTAAGTCTTTTCATTTTTAAAGTGTCTCTGTCTGTCTGTCTGCCTGTCTGCCTGTCTGCCTGCCTGCCTGCCTGCCTGCCTGCCTCTTTCTCTCTCTCCTCTCCCCTTCCTTCCCTTCCTCCCTCTCTCCCTGTCTTCTTCCCTTCCTCCCTTCTTTCCTTCCTTCCTTCCTTCCTTTTCTCCTTTCCTTCATCCCAGCTGTTGTTTCCTTTTGAGGAGTTCCTTTCCCTTTCATGGTGTCTATTATACCTTTCAGATTTTATTTATTCTTTCAGGTTCTTTCACTAGGAAGACAGTACAACATTGTTTACACATGTGGGTCTGATTTATTTCTCTTATGAATATGGTGTCTAGTTGCATCCATTTATGGATAAAGGCCTCAAGTCTATTTTTGTTTATAACTGAGTAATACTCCATTGTATAAAAATACTACATCTTTTTTTATCAATTCTTAGGAGAAAAGAAAGAAGGAAGGAAGGGGAAAAATAAACACACACACTCACAGGATAGCTAAGATAACTGTACTACTAATTTCTGTTGGTTTATTGAAAGGAACAATTAATGCTTAATATTTTTGACCAATTTTTACATGCTTATATCTGGTACCTTAACAACTACTTTGAAGACAACAAAGGCAATGTAACAACTATTGTTGAATTCCTATCATATTGTTCTTTTTTTTTTTTTTCTGTGTATATTTAGTACAGGGTTGACAGGGTCTCACTATGTAGATCGGACTCATAGTGATTTTCCTGTTTTCAGCCTCCCAAGTGCTGGGATTACAGGTGTGCCACCCTGCCCAGTCTCAATTGCCATCTCAGCAGGCCCCGGGGGCGGGGCAGGCACAGTGCGCGGGGGATCCAACCCCAGCTGCTGCATTCTGCCTAAGCTGGTGCTTTAGTCCACTGAGCTATCTAGCTGGGCCCATTTTGTTTTTTAGATTCTGTATTGTTTCTAATTTTGTAATTATGTTTTACTCTTTTAAAAAGAATAAAGCCCTTCCCACCACCTACCAGTGTCTTATTTCGGCATTAATTAGGAAGGAATTAATTGCATTTGTGAATTCTGAAGCACACAACTACATGACTCTAGGAAATTTAAAAAAAAATCAATTTCTTAAGCTAACACTTTATGGATCTAAATACTTTTGCCATTTACTTAAATATATTTCCCACCAAGGTGACATACCTTTAGATAAAAGCATTCGAACGTTAAAAACTAGAATGCTATTTTCATCTTGTAAATGCCACGTGACTTTTCAGAGCGCATGTAATTCAGGTTTTTTCTGTGATTTATTTTTAGAGGAGAACATTAAAGAATGGAACGACCACAGCTTGCTACTTTGGAACAATTCACACAGATGCATCGCTGCTCCTTGCAGAAATTACAGGTGAGCAGAAGGAAGCGGGATCTCGGGGCACCTTGGGCAGACTGGCAGCCCCGGCCTGCCGGCACTTCTGCTTGGTGGGCAGTCCTGCCTTTTGATTGCTACAATTGGACTGTTGCATTTTTTTTTTTTTTTGCAAATTTTAAGGTGTCTGTGGCCCTTGAATTTTTTTTTTAAGTAGTTTGATTATTTGCTTATGGTTTCGTGTTCCAGAGTAATGTTTATGGATCTGAATTTTGTGTACTGATGTAGAGCTTTTTAGGCTAAGCTTGTTAATTCTTCCTGTGGCAACATCTGGGTCTCTTGGCTAGACCCAGGGCCCAGTGCTTGATACTGGGAAAAGGATGAAGGAGAAAATAGTCTTTGCTCTTGAAGAGCCAGACAGAACACTTACACCAATTAATTAATAATTTTAGTGATACCTGTGGTGCTGTTCCTAGATGCCCAACATCAGATCAAGCACTCTATGGATTGAATACACTGCAAACAGCCCTATGTGATGGTTATTGATGTCCTCTTGGGACAGATAGGTAAACTGATGTACAGAGGCTAAAATGCTTTGCTCAGGGTGGCATAAGCCGAAGTGAGAATGAATTTAAGGTGATGATCCTAAAACTTACTCCCAGTGCAGTGTCTGGCGTGTAGCAAGAACTTAGTAAGTGGTGTTGACTGATTCACTGCAGATACTACTGTTGGCACTATAAGCTACACCGAAGGCCTAGTGTGCGACAATGATCAGAAGAGGCAAAGGGGAGCCTGGGGAGATAGCTCAGTAGAGGGCCTGAGTTCAATCCCTGGTTCTGAAAAAATAAATAAATAAATAAATAAATAAGAACAAAAGAAAATAACAAAACGCATGGACAATATATAAAAAGAAAAATAAATATTTGGGGGCCAGGGAGATAGCTTACTAGAATAAGCACTTTCCTGGCAAGTGCAGGGTCCTGAGTTCAATCCCTAGTACTGAAAAAAAAAAAAAAAAAAAAAAGATGAGGCTAAGGGAATCCAAGTAGGTCAGCTGGGAAGGTTTCAGTGATAAGGCCTTCACACTGGGCTTTGGAAAGAAGGAAACCAGGAAGAGACTAAAATTTCTCCTAATCACCTGAAATGAGAAGAACAGAGGTGAGTGAACAGGAAGCCACTAGTGGAAGCAGGAAGCAGGAAACAATAGTTTAATGGAAGAGATGATGGCATGGTGCAGTGATGAGGATGCTGGGCAGAGGGATGCTTCAGATAGTGGACGGGCTTGAACGAGCGTCGAGATGGCAGCCCCGTTTTAGTCAAGTGAGTGATATAGTGGAAGTGATACTGTAAGAGTGAACAAGCTAATAGCCAGTAGTGAACTAAATTACAGGGGAAAGAGAGCAGCAGAAAACATTTTGAAAGACTTGTATGATAGCAATGGGAACTTTGTAAAGCCAACGTTGCCCTGTGGACCTTCCACTTTCTTCTGAAATAGAATTCTTCCGGCACCTTTTGCAAATACTAGGTTCATTAGTACTAGTGAGAGTAAGTCCAGTTCCCCAAAGGTAATGCTACTGATATGGTGACAGTTAAGGAGAGTAGCGGTGTGGTCTGAGTGGTACAACCAGAGGCTCATGCACATCGTTGTGTATATTCCTCATAACCCTGAATATCGCAGAAGACAGTGGGAACATATGGGGCTAGATCTTAAGCAAATGGCATCTGCTATCCAAGGAATGAGCCAGAGAGAAAAGGTGTCAAACCCAAGTGCGTGACACTGAGTCCCTCATGTTCTCAAGACTTTACCATGCTGGGCTTCATCAAGAAGAGCAGCCTGCACACAGAGGCAGAGACTCAACCCAAGGCATGATAGTGGTTGTCAGGAGGGGGATTGTGAGCAGAGGAGAAAGAGAAGGCAAAAAAGAGAGACAGAGAGTGTACGTATGCTGAAAAATAGTAGAATGTCTCCCTAGGATCTGAGCCTGCTACCCCTTGACTATGTGATAAAATGAGAGCAAAGATAGTTGACATAGGTAAAAATATAGACCAAGTATGTAAGCAAAGGGAAAAGCTGATGAAGAGGCACAGTGCACCCAGTTATTACCTGCTCAGGCAGGGAGTGTGGAGGTACAGTAGTCAGAAGCACTGCCTCGACTTACTGTGGGAGTGGGTTTTGTCATTGTTGTTATTCCTCAGTGGTAAGTGGTGGGAGGCTGCCTGCTCCTTTACATTGTGTTTTTAATTGTTTTAATTTAAAGTATTTCTCAGAGGCTTAGAAAAGTGTATTTTGGAAGAAAAAGTTTCTTCTGGATTCTTTTTGTGTGTATTCCACAGATAAATTTGGGCAACGGGCATTTGTTGGCAAAGTCTGCATGGATATGAATGACTGTGTTCCAGAATATAAGGAGACTACTGAGGACTCGCTCAGGGAAACAAAAAGGTAACCTGTCCATGTGTCTGCGTTCGTCTCATGGATGAGTCTCCTGCTACACTGATGGGTTTGGAGAGGGCGTGTGGAACTCAGACACTTCTGACTCCTTTGGAACCTGAACGTGGTGGTGCACAGTGTTCTCTTTAGTGCTGTGTCTGCCGCTGCCGGCAATCTGCCCTGACACTCAATAGTTGCTCATGATTTATGCAACGCTTTCCTTTACAGTGCCATACTTGGTCTTTGGCAAATACGTGGACTGAGTCTCCACAGGTGGGCTTGTCTACAGTCACTGCATTCACTGGTATCCTGTTAGTATAATGGAACACCATAGCAACTTGACTTACAAGGGGAGAAGGTCTATTTGGACTCATGGTCCTGGGGTTGAGTAGCATCCTGGCTTGGGCCTCTGGTGAGGCCACGCATCATGCCAAGAGCGCATGGCACAGCAGACCAGGCACCTCGTGCACAGCACAGTAGAACAAGAGGCAGGAGGCTGGCCGGATTCCCACCGCACACGTCTCTGGTGCTCTAAGTCACCTCCTGGTGTTCCTGCGCATGCCAGCAGCACCAGCCTGGGGACCGAGCCTCTAACACGTGGACCTCGGGCATCGTTACCATATTGTAGTAGCTGTGTAGATTTTAAGTGGCAGAGCCAAGCTTTAAAGCCAGGGTCTATGAGTCTGTGTTTAGAGGTCTATTATGTGATGGCTCTCAGCTCATTTTTAACATTTAAAAAAGTGTAAGAGAGAACCAAAAGCCATGCAGGAAAGAGCATTTGTGGCTGTGTGTGCATACTCAGAAATGACGCCATGGGGGCTCTTTTGCAGGGTAAAACCTTACACAGGATGTTTGAGAAAATGAGTTACACAGTTGTAGACTAAGGAAAGCCGTTTTGCTATAAAAGTTTCCTCAAAAACACTAATAAGAGCATGTGCTCCTCTAGTATAAAATATGCAGAAGCACACACACACAAAAAAAAAAAACCATGAAGGAGAGAAATGTTCTCTATACTTGAAGCATATAAAATTACCAGTATATTGAGATTTTTAAACTCTGGATCCTTTTAGTGTTTTCTCAAGGTGGTGTGCATTCCTCACTACCATTTTGTCCCACCTACTACAGAAAGAGAAAAGCTCTGCCTAGCTGCAGGAATGTGTCTGACCTCCTCACATAGAATCTCCCTTCTCCAAAAATGTGACCAGGAAGGTCATCTGCTGGTGTGAATTGTACGTATTCCAGAGAGGGGGCCATGATTCTTTCTTCTGCCTTTGTTCCTCTTCTGTTTGGGGGACCTCGCTGCACTCCTAAGGTGCAGAGGTTTTAAAGACATTGATCCTGAGCACACAAGCTAGAGAGAGACCTTGAGAAGGACCAAGGCCTTGTTTGCTGCTGTTGGGCGTAAAATATGCCTCAACCAAGGTTGTAAACAGCCAGCTTCACTGGGGAGGTTGTGGTCAACTTTGTGGAGATCCCTACCTCAAACAATAACATTCCACATGCAGACTGAATTATGAAAATTACATGTGTATGAAGAAAATGAGAACATACATCCACATGAAGACTTGAATGTGAGTCACAATATCTTTATTCATAGAAGCCAAATGTGAGTCAAGTTTCACTGTGTACCTGTATCAAAATCCAGTAGAGGACTCCAAACACCTCACCAATGCCACACACTAGTGATCCACTTGTGTGAATCTGCTGAGGCACAGAACGCTACACAGCAGTTAAGAGAACTAAGTTATTATTCTCACACAGGTAGTAACGAGTCATAGAAATCCAGGGTTCATGACACACAGGTCCTTCAAGACCCAGGAGGAGTGGAATCTTGTCTCTGTGTGACTGACATTGCATGAAAGCTGAGGACCCTGAAACAACACTCTGTCTGGGGTTTTATGCCAGGAAGAACTGGAATTGCTACACTAAAGGGGTTTGGGACATTCCGTTCTAACAGGAAATACAACAGAGCCCAGGTTCACAAGGCCAGATGTTCCTTATCTCAAAGCGCTGCATTTACAGTACATTCTGTACTCTGAGAACAAGGAGAAAGGGGAGGAGCTGGGTCACCAGGGCCATCAGGGGGCTCTGCTACACAAAGAAGTGGAACCCACCTACATTTCCACAAACTGGAAAATGGATATACGAAGTGGGCTACACAGTGGCATGCCATTCAGCAATAGAAAGGAAAGAGTCACTGACCTGTACGGTCCATGGATCTGTTTTTTTCAATATGCTAAGAGAAGCCGTGCACAAAGGTGGTTGCATAATTGCATTTCTATGAGAAGTATAGAAGATGTAAATCCATAGAGACAGAAACTGAACTTGGAGATGGGCTGGTACTGAAGGTGGGAGTGTGCACAAGCCATAAATGCGCTCACAGCATTGAGTGCAGCAGTGGAAATGTTCAGAACTGGCCTATGATGGCAGTTCCAAAGCTCAATTTGCTAAAATTAGTGAATAGTGTACTTAAGATAGTTAAATTTTATGATACACAAATAAAACTCCACTCAAATAGTTTTAAGAAATATGTCAGAGATGTGTGTTCCTAGCTCACACCCTTTTAAATAAGAGTTAGATGGGAAGTTTTTTTTTTTTTTTTTTTTTTTTTTTTTTTTTTTTTTTTTTTTTGTGGAACCAGGGATTGAACTCAGGCCCTCGCACTTGCCAGGGAAGTGCTTATTCCACTGAGCCATCTCCTCAGCCCAGGAAGTTATTCATTTTTAAAAATAAATATTGTCTTTGAACATTGACTTTTAAATGTATTTTTTAACATTTTATTTTTTTCATGTTTTATTTTTTGACCCACTCAGCTGGCCCTGAGGGCAGGCCTGGCACGGCATGTGGTGCCAGGGATTGAACCTCGGTCCTCTGCTCCTGCCTAAGCTTTCCTCAGCAGACACTTTAGACTTCTAAGCTATATCACCCACCCCTAAAATTTTATTTTAAAGAGAAAGAACAAAGTTTCAAAACAAGATAATAGAATAACAATGGTTAATGTATCATATATTGTTATCTCTAATTAATTACTTGGAGTGCAAGATACAGACATTTAGTTGTCCAAACAATATTAGCACAAACCTTTTCAGTGAAGTAAGAGAAACCAGTAGTATAACTGTTTTAACTAACTTGTGTGTATATTTTTTTGTTTTTGCTTTTTCCTTCCTTCTGTTCTCCATTCCCCAATTAAAGTTTACAAAGCCTGAGCTGTATACAGACTCTGAAGGCGCAGTCTAGTGTACTTGCAGAGACTGTGACCGACACGTTTCGCTCCTGTCACAGCACTTCTCTTCTGCTCCTCCTTCTTTGTTGTCTACTCTAATCCCACACAGCTGAAGAAAAATTGGCTTTAGAAGGCTGAGAACATACGTCCTTAAGTTTCTGATGTAGAATTACTGTTGAAAGATAAATTTATCCATCTAAATTTCTCTTCCCATTTGCCATGGGCCATAAATGTTTACCCAACTTGATGAAATTGGTGTGTCACTTTAAAACTTCTGCACATCAGTATTACTTTTGTGTATCAGATTATATTTGAAGGCCTTGGGGAAATACCCCAAGAACTCTAGTGTAAATCTCTTGGTAAAAGGAAGAAGTCTTTTTTTTAAAATTACCCTTTCCCTGACCTGTGTTGTATGAAGGATCCTCGTGTAGATTGGATTTGCTTTAAAGTGTGTGGGGTCTGCTCACAAGATTGCTTTTGTTTGTGGGCCATATGATGGCCTAAGACTATGACTTTTCATTGTGTGTATTGTGATATAACAAGGGGACATTCCGATCATATAGGGACCGTTCTTATATGATTGTGAATTGTTTTTCCCCAGTACCTTGAGTAATTGATAAAGAAGTCATTGTATTACATTCAATGAAATACAGAAGAAAATTCTTTTGGTGCAAATATTTCCCCAGGGGTAAAAACACCTATCCTAATATAAGGTTTAAAATCCAGTTTTATTTTCATTTCTGAGGCCTTGGGCAGGGTAAGCATTTTTCCTTGAAAGAAGGGCAGAGGCTTGTTCCATGCTCAGCGTGGAGGAGCTACCTCCTTTCTTTTTACCATTGGTTGGCTATATGCCTAGTTTCTCTAATAATCTCCTATTTTTTTTTTTTTAGAATTTTTTTTCTTTCTTTCTTTTTCTTTTTTTGTGTTTTAGGGAAGGGCCTACTGTTCAGAGTCGCACTACTAGATCAGACTCGTAGTGATCCACCTGTTTACAGCCTCCTAAGAGCTGGCATTACAGGCGTGCGCCACCATGCCCAGTCTCAATTGCCATCTCAGTACACCCCAGGGGCGGGGCTGGCATGGCAGGCCTGGGGATTGAACTCCTGGCCCCTGTGCCTGTTTGCAGGTGCTTTAATCCACTGAGTTATTTGGCCGGCCCTAAAAATCTACTTTTGTGACTCTTGTAAACTTTAATTTATGTTTTATACTGAAACAAAAGAATACCAGAAGACAAGGAACTACAGCTAGTAAAGGAACACAGCTGGCCAGGCAGTAATAGCCATTTCAAAGCCTTTATTTACAGTGACTGCCACCTGTGCACAAAACTGGTAGGATCACCATTCAGCTCCTTGAACATGCGTCTCAAAATCCCCATTGGCCTACGTCTTCTGCCTCACTCCAGTATCCACCTGTATGGAGCCCTGGCCATGGAAGTAGGTACTGCTGCTAAGTGAACCAGTCGCTTCCACGCTGGTGAAATAACAAGTGGAGCGTCCGATGGCTTCTAAGTGCCTTTGTGTGGACAAAACTCCAGACAAGGAGCCGAGCGTGTTGCAGTATTCCTCTGCAGTTTGATCTAGATCGGCAGCTTGAGCCGTGTGGGATGAATACCCATGATAACTCCGCTAATCTTAGAATGGCTGCAAAGGAGAAAGCAGAGTAATTCTACTTGTTAAACTCACATTAGAGGCGATGAAGTCAGAGCAGCAGCATTCGAAATACACAGTGGAGACCAGGACATCTAAGGCTCATGTTTTTGTCCTTTTAATACCTTTATTTGACAGTACTGGTTTTTATAACTTTACCTTTGTTGCTTTGTTTCAGATTTGTGTCAGAAATACTTGGAAAGAAGGTAAGAAAGACTGTTTGGAGCTTTCATTTGCATTGTATTTCGTTAGTTGTAGGATCAATCCATTCAGTTGCTAGTGGTCACTGTGTGGGTTTAGCTTATTCCATGCCGAGGAAGTTTTTTCCTTACATTGTTCTGGTGGCCCAGGAACTCATCTCACTGAGGGCAGGCATTTAAGTTTTAAGATATCTAACTGACAAAAAAAAAAAAACCCTAATTGACCAATAATTATTATAAATATCCAGGGCGTATAATAGGGTGTCCTCATTGTCTAATGATGATCACAGTTAAATTAATTCCCACCAAAACTGAACAGCAGATACTGGAATCTTTTCATTATATAACTGATATTTTGTAGCCTTTGATCAATATCTCCTCAAATAATTAAGAAATCTGACTTCTGGGTATGTACCCAAGGAAACAATCAGTACAGTACCCCCTTGCTATTTTGCTGTTCAACTTTCGCAGGTTCACTGCTTCATGGGTTTTCAAAAAAATATTAATCTCAATTATTATTATTTGTTAATGTATTTAGTACAGGGTCTCACTGCTCAGATCGCTTGTAGTGAACCTTCTGTTTTCAGCCTCCCAAGAGCTAGGATTACAGGCATGCAGGGTCCCAGCCGCTGTTTTCATTGGGTCCAGGGGGCGGGGCCGGCATGGCATTCTAGGGATCGTATCCCTGCCCCTGTGTCTGTCTAAGCAGGCGCTTTGATCTGCTGAGCTATCTGACCAGCCCTTAGTGTAAGTTATTTATTGAAGTTTTTCACTCTATTGCAAGATTTTTCAGTACTGTACAGTATAAGTATGCTGTTAAAATTACGTAGGTTTATGAATTTAGAAAGTGATGAAGAACATTAGAATTGCTTTTAAAAATGTGGCAAAGGGTTGTAAGTGATGGAAAGAGTTTATAAAGCCTTAAAATGTATGCAAATACTAAAATAAATATACTGTTGCTACTTCTCTGATTTTCACTTATAGTGGGGCTGTCTGGAGTGTTACCTCCGCAGTCAGCGAGAGACCACTGTATCGCAGAGACATCTGCGCTCCTCTAGCATTATTTGCCAGAGATGAGATACAGAAATATGTAATTATGCAGACAAGTGAATAGATACATACATGCCGTGTGTCTCTGTATGTTTATTTTTTATTTTTATTCTTATGCATTTAGAACAAGGTCTACAGGGTCTCACTACGTAGATCAGACTCTTAGTGATTATCTTGTTTTCGGCCTCCCAAGCACTGGGATTACAGGTGGGTGCCACCATGCCCAGTCTCAGTCATGTCTTGGCACCCCTGGGGGTGGGGCCAGCACGGCATGCCAGGGATAGAACCCTGGGCACTGTGTTCTGCCTAAGCAGGCGCTTTAGTCTGCTGAGCTATCTGGCTGGCCATCTGTGTTTATATATAGAATGTACATATAGATATGTAGTATATAGTGTATACATATATAGCATATATATATATCTGTATGTATGTATCTAGTGATATTATTCAGTGATAACAAATTCTGCCATTTGTAAGAACATGGAAAAATCTATAAAGCAAAACAAAACAAAAAAATCTCTATAACATCATAGGATGTTAAAGAACTGAGCCTAAAACACAAATGCTACATGAACTCATTGATTTGTGAAATCTAAAAAAGCTGAGCTCACAGAGACAGAAGTCAGACTTTTTTTTTTCTTTCTCCTGAAGGCTGGTGCAACCCTATGTCTCTGTCTGTCTGTCTATTTTTGCCATACAGCTTTGAAATTGAAAAGTACTGATTTTAGTGTTTTTAAGTAATCCCCACTCATATATGTGCAAAAAAGAAGTCTGCTTTATTTCTATTATTATGGATACATTTCTTGGCTACAAAACAGCTTATGCATCAAATCCCTTGGCCACGTGCTACAGGAAAATGAAATTGAGTTGGCGGGGGAGGGGGGGTGAGTTTGATCCCAAGTTCACCAAGCTGTCATCATGGTTCCAAGAGATCCTCTCTCAGACTGGCCGACTTGCCTTGCCTTGTCATCTTTACAGTCTTAATGACAATTACAAGAATCCTCAGAACGTCTTCTAACTGAACCCGGGGAGAATTAGGTGGAACTTTGTAGAGCCTTGTCCTCACCACCCCCTCTGTCCTTCCCTCTGCCCTTCCTCTCACCTGAGGTGGTACTGGAGCAATCCTGCGGCCCAGTGAGCTGCGGCCCATGTGCCTGTTCAAGACATGGAATGGGAAGCAGGCTCCTGCTTCTCCCAGTGTTTGTACTTTCCCCAGCGCTCTCCTTTAACGCTTCTCCTTTTGCCTCCAGTGCTCTTCAGCAGGACTGTGCAGCCTTGACCTCATCTGTGCTTTAATGTGAGAAGTGTCCTTCCCTTGGAACAGGTCTTTCTCCTGACCTCGGTGCTGTAGAGTACATTACACATGACTCTCATCTGTGAGTTGTTGCCATGGAAATGCCTCTTGGAATTGGAAACTGCCCTCAGAGATGAAGATGTAAAGTTCACTAGCCGTGTGGCAGCATTGTGGAGTCTGTTACATGTTCAATATCTCTGCTGTTTCCTTACTGGCTGTGTTTTGTTATATCCAGTACCCCAGAGTGAAGCCCATAGTGACGCCACGATTTTGCCTGTCCTGCTCTGATACATTGATGGGCGAACTCGGCAGCTTTGCTAAGGCCCAGGAGCTGCATGTCCAGGTAGATATTTTTCTTCTGATTGTGCCCCTGTCCAGACTTGAAATATTTTCCAGTTCTGTAAATCATGATCTCCAGTTATACTGAAATCTTGTAGAGCCAAAGAAATGCTCTTACTGTTGTCGATCCAGTTCTTCAACTTTACAGGTGAGAAAACAGAAATTCCTTTTGTTCTAAGTGTTCTCTAGTCAGTCTTTAAGAGATGAAAACATCTTTGTAATGAATAGCAAGGTCACGGACTGTTTACTTATTCTCGGGAGGATATAGTAAATGCAATTTTTTGGACTTCTTTTTCATTTGATAGCATCTCCATGTTCTATCCTCTTAGTCTTGGAGGAACCAGCTTCAAAGAACAAAAATACCCTAATTTCTATTTTACAAAAATGCATTGAAAAGCCCTTTGTTCTGAGTTTCCTAATTTAAAATCAGTATATATATATATATATATATATATATATATATATATATGTCTTACTTTGCCATTAAATTGTCACAGCAATAAAAGGTTAGATGATTAAAATCTAATGATGATTAAAATCTCAGTTATAGTCGGAAGCCCCTCTACCTCATCTAACCTTAATTACATGCTGTAGTGTAATTTCTCCTCATAAGAGTCAGCTATCTTAGGAAAGCGCCAACTCAGGGCAGTGGCAACTTATTGATACTTCACCATTTTGTAGATTTCAAAAATAGTCGTCATTGTAAGTTTTATTAATTCTTTTTATCTTTCCTGTTTTTACTAACTTTTGTCTCTGGTATTTGAATTTTGGGTTCAAAATTCACACAGTTATCTCCTGGAGATAAAATTAAAGGCTTAGATGCTATTTCTCCTTTTAACACCAAATTCTTCTGTTTCTTAAAAATAAACTACATATAACACTTACAAAGATATACAAACTACAATGAAAAAAACATCAGCAAAGTCTGTTTGTGCTTAGGAGCTATACAGATGCCTGTGTATTTACTTACACTTACCAGAACCCAAAATGACATGAACTATCTGGCTGTTGTCTCTTCTTTCCTATGTCCAGGAACAATAGTTTCAATAGTCTGAGAGTCTCAGGGCCAGAGATGGAGTTAGATGAAACCCCTGTCTGTAGAACATTGCTATCTCCTCCTATCGCGTGGTTGACTGTGCGTGTTCTGTGAAAGAGAAATGAAATTGCTGTTTTTGAAATTATTCATTTCCTCATTGTTACTTCCCATAATAAATACTTATCACCAATAGCTCTGAAATGATTTCTCTTTTAGCCTGTGAGTTGGATTTTTTTGTGTTTTTTTTTTTCTTTCTTTTTTTTTTTTTTGAAACAGCTATGTACTGTAGGCTGTCTTTAAATTCACGAAGTTTCTCCTGCTTCTGCCTCCTGAGTGCTGGGCTTACAGGTGTGCCCTACCATAGCCAGCTGGAGTGGGTATTCTTGAGTGTTATAGATCAAAAGTGCCTTATGGCCTCTCAGGCTACGTGACCTGGAGGAAGGTCCGTGTGTAGGCCTCAGCCCCACTTGTTTTGCTTGACATGGATTCCTGTGGACTCTTCTTAGTGATATCAGGGCTGTCCAGCTTGGTTATTTTGAAACTGTTTTCTGCGGGGGGAACTCATGGGGCAAAACCACAAAGGGGACCAATTAGGGGCTGGGTCCAGAGTGCAGATCCTTATCCTGAGGGACAACTTGTTTATGCCTTTGACATGTTAGAGTTCTATGAATTGCAAACATAAACTTTGAATAACACACCTGCAGCTAATAGAATTTAGAAAACACTCCTCTGGCCCAACCCTTGTACCTTGGGGACAAGAAAAGGAAGGCCCAAAGGAAAGAACTTATTTGCCCTAAGACTAGTGCCTAGGGTCTGAATTTGGGTTCATACTCGAACCTTTTTGCTCAGATTCTAGTCATGCTGTCTGTCTTGGGACACTCCGATTTCCTTCTTAAATGGCCAGCTCCAGAAGAGGCGGGCTGCCACAATAGCTGAACTCTTGACACAATTTGAGGAGTTCTTTGTGTTTTTTTCTTAATATTGGAATTGCAATAGGACTTTGTTAGAAAAAAAATTTGTCTTGAGATTGTAAACACACATGTTCTTCATTGTATTTTGGTCATATGTTGTTTTATGTGATATGTAATTGCTTAAAATAAAGCCCATGGTCCGTGAGATAGCTCAGTGGACTAAAGCACCTATTTAGACAAGTTTAGGGAAGCTTAGGCAAGCCCAGGGACTGTGGTTTGATCCCTGGCACCACATTCTGTACCAGCTCTGCCCCCAGGGTGAGCTGAGCTGGCCAGAGTCCTGGCATGGTGGTGCTGGAAGTGGGCCTCCCTGTGGAGGCTGAAAGCAGAAGGATCACCATGAGTCCAAGCTGCATAGTGAGACCCTGCAACAACCAAATACATTTAAAAAATAAAATAGAAAAAATAATAAAATAAAATAAAGTCCATGTACTAGATGGTCCCCTGTATCAGCAAGTAGAAACCAGAGAGAATTTTGGGGAAGGCAGTGTATTTTCTCCTATCTAACAGAAAAAAATTAAAAATACTATTTTTTTCTTATAGAGCCACATAAGTGAGACTCTGGCTGAAGTTGAAGCAGTGAAGAGCTTGTACCCCAGCTATAAGAACTACACAGATGTCTATGACAAAAACAATCTTCTGACGGATAAGGTACACTGTTTTATGACATAATGTATGTAAAGTTGGGTACATTTATTTAAATTTTAAAATCTCAGTTGTGGTCTTGAGATTTTTGTGACATGCTTTAATTTACCAAACTAGGAGAAAATCGTGTGTGTGTGTGTGTGTGTGTGTGTGTGTGTGTGTGTATGTATGTGTGGTTCCATCCCAGTCAACTCTAAGGCTCCCTTCAGGTGAAGGTAGAATGCCATTTGTTCTAAAGATACTCTGACAGGACCATTAGCATGAAAGTATGCCTTTCTTTGAGTCAGCAAATGCATTTCTAAGCATCCTTTCTGTAAGGAATATAAATAGGAATATAAATTATATAGGAAAAATTTAACATGACCGTCAATAGGGGATTGAGGAAATTATGAAACCTACCTGACTAGAATTCTGACCACCGTTCACCAAGAAGGCCACGTGTCCACCTTCCTGAGGAAGAACGTGCCGCATAGTTTGCTGGGCTGTGATGTGTGGGGGTGTGAGTTTCTTCTCACTTAGAAGAAACTGCCTAAAGGCTCACACTGAATGTTAAGAGACTCTCCCTGAGGGAGAGAGCAGAAATATTTCTAAACTCTTAAAATGTTAAAAGGAGTATGTATTACTTTTCTAATTATTTAAAATTAGTATGAGACATAAGAAACCTCATTACAGTAATATACTCTTTGGCCTTGGCCATTTTAGAATATACGAACTGCATGGAGAATTTATGACAGCAAATAATTTCTGAATGAGTGCGGGGCAGGAGACCTAAATGTATCTGATTCAAAAGCACAGTACTGGGCCGGCCAGAGAGCTCAGCAGATTAAAGCGCCTGCTTAGACAGAGCACAGTGGCCAGGGCTCGATCCCCTCCCCAGGGTGCCTTGTCAGCCCCACCCCCGGGGCGTGCTGAGGTGGTGATTGAGACTGGGGGTGGTGGTGCATGCCTGTAATCCCAGCACTTGGGAGGCTGAAAACAGGAGGATCACTACCAGTCCAATCTACATAGCGAGACCCTATGGACCTTATACTAAATATATATATATATATATATTAAAAAGGACAGTATTCTGCATAGGTCATGGGAATGCTACATTATAATTTTTACCCTCCTCTGCACTAATAAATTAGCCTTCAATTTGCAAGCTAATTTTATTTGCACGGACGTTAGGAAAGTTTTATTTTAGTCATCATTTTCTGGTCATGGAACCGTGCATAACTTTCTTTCAACAGAGAAAGTTATTTAGGTATAGCTTTTGTACAAAGGGGAAAAGAATTTTGCAACAGTAGAGTCTCATTCAAAAACCTCACAGACTTTATTGAGACTAAAAATTTATAGAGGTCTCATTTTTTGCACAGTGCCTGCTTTCTGTCATCATTTTTATCTTCTAAATTAATGCTTATGTTAGACTGCCTAGTTTTAAGAAAATATGAATATAGGTGATATAATTTATTTGGTGGTCTGTGTCAAGACTACCAGTGGTTCTGTGTTAGGTCTAGGACCAAAACAAAGAACAGCTTTTGCAGGATTACACACAGCTACCATGTATTTCAAAAAGTTCTGATGAGATTAGGAATAAGTGTAGCCCTACCTGCAGCTCACCACATCCACTTAGAAAAAAAAGCAACTTGATAGTTTTCTAAAAAAAAAAAAAAAAGGAATACAAACGAAGGACCGTTTTGTATCTGTATATTCAAAATAGTTAGGATAGATATACAGCTACTTTATCTTAATTCAATGAATAGAAAGATGTTCTAATAGTGTTTGTAGACAGGATATTATGTCTGCATCTTGTACTATGAATAATCACTAAGAAGACAACTATATGCAGTGTATTAATTATTGAAACTGACCTACTAATCAGTGTTGAAACTGTCTCATTGCTATTTGTTTCTCAATAAAATTATTAAAAAATAAAGTAAAGATGATAGAATAGGGTATCCAACTACTTCAGATTGAGAGACTATTTTATTTGAAGTTAACCTGGACCAACTGTCATTGTTTTATACAATAACAACAACAACAAAACAGATCACTGAGAAAGAAAAGTAACATCCACAAATTTGCTGAGAGTTTTGTGACACAAATGTTTTCACAGGGGCCAGGGAGATAGCTCAGTGGAATAAGTGCTTGCCTGGCAAGTGCAAGGTCCTGAGTTCGATCCCTGGTACCACCAAAAAAAAAAAAAAAAAGTTTTCAGATGCATTTTCTGAAGGTGTAAGACTTATACCCAGGAATTTCATGCATGCAAATAATTATAGTTATTCTTATAAAGAGGGTAATGGCTGAATTGCAGCTCCTGTGTCTCCCTGTAATAATTCCTTGGGAGACAATGCTGGTGCACACATGTTTGAGTGATGTGCTCTGTGGTGGCCCCCTTCTCTCCAGACAGTGATGGCGCATGGCTGCTACCTTTCTGCGGAAGAACTGGACATATTCCATGAACGGGGAGCTTCCATCGCGCATTGCCCCAATTCTAATTTATCGTAAGTAGGGGATAAGAGCTTGGTAAATGATGAGTGTGTGGGTTGCAGGTGGGCACCAAACACCTTTGTTTTCTGAGTTGTTCCTTGCTCCAGGATGTGTATTTTATCATTAAATTTTGTTATGGTTTGTGTCCGCTTTTCCCCCAAAGCCTCGTGCAGTTATGCGGTGGACTGCTAGAGTTTGTGATTGATTCTTGATCCAGTGCTGGGATTATGGGTGTGAGTGCCCTGGCAGATACTGTGCATGGCGATGTGAGGAGGGGAGCGAGGACAGCGAGCTGCTGGTGGGTCCCTCGCTTTGCCCTCTGCGCTCCGCCGTGTGCTGCTCTGCCTTGGAGCCAGCTGAGTATGGACTGAAACCTCCACTAACTCAGAGCTAAATAAACCTTTCCTTCCTTAATTCTGGGTGTTGGTATTTGTCACAGCATTGAGAGAAGAGTAGCTGAGACAAATATGATTGGGACAGCAACTTGATAGGTGGACATTTACCCCACTGTGGTGGTGGGGGCGAGGAGAGCACTGAAAAGAGGATTTTTTTTTTTTTGCAGAATATGCGCATGATGCACATCCTGACAAGGAATTTTGCATATGTGACTTTATTATGATATAATGACCACAATAGGGGAAAAGCAACATTCTTTGGATGAGTTATACAACATCCTGTCGATTAAAACATGCTCCAACTTTACAGATTAAAGTTTGAAGTTAAATTTCATCAGGATGCATTTCTGTTTCCCTCTAACAGCTACAAAGGGTTTATTTTATATGCAGATCAATTTGACCTTTATATCTTCTGGGACTTCTAGATGCATCCTTTAATTTGTCTTTTTAGAAAGGTGATACATGTTAAATTCCAGGTCATGAGGTTTAGAAACCAGTCCTGGAACCTTCTCCCATTCTCAGTACTGTTCTCTGCAGCAGCAGCTGGACTCAGGCCCTGACCTAGGAGCCTGTACCCCTTTACTAGTTACACCTCTCCTCCTTTGATCTTGCAACTGTAGGGCTGAAAAGGGTTGGGACCTTTTACCTTCCTCCCGCCCCAGCATAAAGACCATGGCTGATCCTCTAAAACTAAAGGTAGGTGAAGAGTAGAAGAGCCTAACCAGGTTATTTAATCAAAGTTTTAGTAGCACAGGAGCCTGTAGGATGAAGAGGAAAAAGCAGAAACCTCTCCCAGTTTTTGTCTTGATTCGATGAAGCGTGGAGAACATATAGAAATGGGGCCAGATAGGAAAGATTTACTGAATGTAAAGAGATCGAGTCTGAAAGCCCATCAGGTCTGCTGTTCAAGTTCTTGGCCTCTCCAGGGAGTGTTTTCAGGACACTTGGAAAGTATGAGTTTCATGCCCTTCTATGAGTCCTGGTAGGACAGAGAATTTCTTCATGAGCCCTAAGATAGAATGGAGGGGGAGATTAGAGTAAAATGTAGCTTCTTTGGTTTACTTTGAGGAAACAAGGTTCAAGTTTCTGTTACCAACCATGAGCAAGAGGTTTCTGTTACCAACCATGAGCCCAATCTCCAATCCCCCCGGTATTGGAGATTGGGCCGAACATTGGGCACATCCCAAACACACACTCTTCCAGTGAACTATACCCCAGCCCTAAGAAAGCCTGGTTTCTGTGATTTGCTTTTCAGGGGTAAAGAAGTCCAGGAAACAGGAATAAAAGAAACACTCAGAGACAGACTTTGATTTTTAGACAGTTCTTAGGTCCCCAAGCACCAGACTCTGGGATGCTTTCTGAATGCTAGTACAAATCACCATTCATGCAGGGTTACCACTTATTCTGGACATAGAGGAAGGACAGAGCTTTATTGTATAATTTCTGCTTCCTAATGAAGAAAGATTTGATTAAAAATATTTGTAACATCCATTTTTGGACTAACTGTAAAGCTTAATTTTTCTTTTTTTTTGCTTAATTTTTTCTTTCATCTGAGTGACCCTTGGCTTTGCCTCCTGGCTCTTGCTTCCTTGACCTCCCTGAGTGCAATGTCCACCCCAGGATAAGCTCTTTACGTGCACCATGGCTTAGGTGGTCCGTCTGATAATGGGTTTATGTCGGCCTTAGAATGAATATTAGTGGGAAATACGATTTTCAGGGGCCTCACCATTCATATTAGCCTCCTCCTACTGTGGAAGTTGCACAGACCTGCTTGTTCTGACGTCTTCTCTCTCTCCAGGCTTAGCAGTGGCCTCCTAAATGTAATTGAAGTCCTGAAGCATAATGTGAAGATAGGACTGGGGACAGGTTAGTAGCACACTGTAAGAAGCTGTAGCTAAGAGAATTGTACTACTCATTTCTATTGGTTTATTGAAAAGAACAGTTAATGCTTAATTTTTTTGTCCAATTTTACATGCTCTTATGTGATAATCTGAACAATTACTTTGAAGACAATACTATGCAATACAACAGCCATTGTTGTATTACTATCATCATGTTTTTTGAAACTCTGTACCATTTCTAATTTTCAAAATTTTTTAAATTCTCTCTAAAAGAAAAAACTATGGAGAAATGGTCAACTAGTGGTTAACTTCCTAAAATGACCGATTTGCAGCTAACTCTTGTCTGATTAAAAAACATATTTCATTATTGCAAGCGATGTCTTAATATGTGTCTAGTTTGATTGGAAGCCTAAGAACATGTATGTGAGGACTGAAGTTTTAGTGATACTAACCCTGCGCCCCATGTGTACACATACACAGCTACAGTCCTAATTTGTGGTTTAGAGACTAGCCTATAAAGGGATTGGGGTATGAATCTTTCTGAAGAGTTTCACAGTTTTTCTTTTCTTAAAAAAGAAGTCCTTAGTGTTTCCTTTGTTTGTCTCCTTCTGACTAGGTTTTAATGATTTGGACTTGTGAGTTTTTAAATTTTTAAAATGTAGTCATCACACATATCTCAAGAGGCAGCTTACTCAGCCTTGCCACAGTGATCGCATGGTCAACCTGCACCAGCATCCAGGAACTCCGAGATACAGTATGATAAGAGCAGGCTTTGCTTTTAAGCAGTTTTGCCAAATGAGGCTCCTGGCTTCTAACAGGCGTCTGATGATTACTGAAGAAAGGACAGTCAAGGTGGCTGCAGAGTTAGTGGAGCCTGCTTTCTTCTCCATTCGTTTTGCCTGACTGTAGATGCTGTTATTTATTTTCAAAGTGAGAGTCAGGCCTGGATGTCTGGGCCTCTGTTGTGAACCTTCTTTTAAAAGAAAAATTTAAAGAGACTGTATGGGACACAGACCTTTCTTTTATCTGTCTTTAACTGACACGTAAGATGATACATATTAATGGACTACCAAGTAGTATTTCCATACATGTATGCATTGTGTCATGTTTAAGTCAGGGTGAGCATATCTCTGTCCTCAAGCACTGGTCCTTCCTAGGTGGTAAAATAACTCAAAATCTAGTCTTCTAAATTTTTTTGAGGGCCAGGGGGATAGCTTGACGGTCTAAGTGCCTGCCTGGCAACTGCAAGGACCTGGTTTGGATCCCTGGCACTGCATGCTGGGCCAGCCCCGTGCTGAGCGGAATCTGAGCTGCATAGTGAGACCCTGTCCCCCCCCCAAATAAAGATTGTTTTAAAAAATCTATTAATTTTTTTGAAATACACAGTACATTATCTATAGTGTCATGCCAGAACTTGTCTTTCTTTTTGTAATTTTGTCTCCATTCACCAATAATTTCCCCATCTCTCCTTTCTCCCATGCTCCCCAGTGTGTTTAGCCACCATTCTACCCTCAGCTTCCGTGAAATCAACTTGGTTAGGTTCACATGGGGTGTAGTCAGACAGTGCTTAACTTTATTTTCCATTCTGTACTCAACACACTTGTCTCTCTGTACCATCAGCTGCACATACATGTGCATGCATGTGTGTGTGCGTGTGCATGCGTGTATGTGTATATCAACGCTGATGATTTCCACTATTTCCACCAGTAACTTAAGTCTCTTTTTGTCATAGTGAGATATTTTATTATGTCAAGCAGTTACTTGGTAAGGCACAGTAATATGCATAATTACTTTATTTATATTTTAAGAAGATGTTAGTTTTCTGCAATTTTATGTAGAATCAAAGTAACAAAATTAAAAAATGTTCTAATTCAAGCCTTACTTCATGATATTATGATAAAACTTGAATATACTCAAAGATCTTAAAATATAAAACTAGCTATTTCACAGGAAAGCTTAAATGGTTAAAAAAAGAATGGTAAGAGTCAATTCATATGAAAATACAATATAGTCAATTAATGTGAAAAATTAGTGAGATATAAAAAATATAATATAACCTTCAGATTTTGTAGAATTTGATGCCCGTGTTTTAAATTCAATATATGACTCCTAGTTCTTTTTTTTAAAAAAATTTAAAATTTTACTCTTAGTGATCCTCCTTCTCAGCCTCCCCTGCACTGGGATTGTAGGCGTGTGCCACCATGCCTGGTTTTGGTGGCTGGCCCTGTGTGCCAGGGCTTCTAGGGCCAGCATGGCATGCAGTACCAGGGATCGAACTCGGGTCCTTGTGCTTGCCAGACAGGCACTTATGCCCTCTCCAGCCCCATGACTTCTAGTTCTTGACTTTGGGTTGTGTAGCTGTCCCTTCCAAATTGTGAAAGAAAGAAACATGTAGCTCATAGGAGTAAGATTTGGAGCAAATTAAATATCTAAAGGTTCACTTCCTGATTTATATAACAAAAACCACAGCAATTATAAGCTTGTTTTCAAAATTACATGAAAAAAAATGGCTTGCAAAATGATTGACACAGACCTGCCACAAAGCGCTAGTCAAGTTTGGCTTAAAAAAGAGGGTGCAAGGCTGGTGCTATGACCAGATGTTTTAAGAATATAAGGTTGGGCCTACCAGATAGCTCTGTGGACTAAAGTGCCTGCTTAGGCAGACACAGGGACTGGGGTCAGTCCCCTACAGGCTGTTCTGGCCCTGCCCCAGGGCATGATGAGACGGTGATTGAGACTGGGCCTGTGGTGGCACATGGCTCTAATCCCAGCACTTGGGAGGCTTAAAACAGGAGGATCACTACTACTCCAATCTATGTAGTGAGACCCTATAGACCTTGTACTAAATACATAAAAAAAGAAAAAGAATATAAGGTATTAGCCTATTACTTTGAAGAATGCTTATTTAATTTTACTCAGTTTTTGACCCTGTAGCCATCCTGCACTGTTTCCTAAAACACAATTTTTGTGTATCAGTTTATCTTTTAGACTTTAGATAATAAATTTAAACTCATACTGTGGACCTAGAGAATGTCCAGGAGCAGTTAATTCACCAGCTACAAGTATAGGAAGATCTTTTCCACTTGGGTATCATAAGGTTTTGGAGCCTTGGGAATTCTGAATTTGGGGCTTAGGAGTACTTAGCCTGAATTAAAGATAATAATTGTAGACTTATAAAACTAGAATGCTTTAAATCTGAAATACGAAGAGAGCATGAAAACAAGCCCATAAAGTGGATAATCCAAAAATAGCGACCAGAAGGAAATCTGTAAAACTATGGTGAGGCCGGCGAGATAGCTCAATGGACTAAGCGCCTGCTTTGACAAGCACAGGGACTGTGGTTTGATCCCCAGTCCCACATGCTGTGCTAGCCTGGTCGCTGGGGTGCACTGAGCCAGTGACCAAATCCAGGCCTGGTGACATAGGTCTGTAATCCCAGTGCTGAGGGGGCTGAAAATAGGAGGATCACTATGAGTACAAGCTGCACAGTGAGAAACTGTATTAAATACATAAAAATGAAAAATAAATAATAAATATATAAAACTGGTGAGTTTGCATAAGCAAGACAACAAATGCA